TTTCTATGAATTTTTGGTAATTAGCATATTGCTTTTAAACTATTGGCTGTTTAATTTTTGTGTTTTGACCTGAGGTAGTGGATATTAAAGGTTTTGCTCTCATATTCCCTAAACAATTTTGAAAGATGTACTCCTTTACATACAAAGAACAAAAAAACCTTTACTGAACCTTAACATGCAGAAGGTACCCATTTTAATAGTGAATAACTCAAATGAATATTTTTACTCAATTTTGCTCAAAGCTAGTCACAGCACCACTTCTGGCTTTTTCTGTGGTTCTGTGGAATCAAACCCAGGGCTTCATGCATGCTAGGCAAGCACTCTAACACTAAGCCACATTCCCAGCCCCAACTCAAATGAATTTTCATCAAGTAAACACATTTGTGTACCAGCTCCCAGACCAAGAAATTAAAACATCATTTGCAACTTTGAAGTGCTGCTTATCACATTCTACCTTCAACCATTTTTCTGACTTTTTAACACCGCAGATTACAAAGTGTGTCTTTTGTAGTTTATGTAAGTGGAATCCTATTTTTTGGGCTCTTTTGAGCAAATTTAAACATGAGATGTATCTGATTTATGTCTTGCTGGAGACTATTCATTATCATTATTGTCTACTATTCCATTACGTGAATATATCACCCTGTGTGTGTGTGCGCGCGCATGCATTGTTAATATTATTGAAGTAGCTCTCAATGTTTGGAAAACATCTTTGTGGATTTGTCTAGGAAATCTTTGTGCAATTCAAGACTTTTCAGTGATTCTTCTAGTATTCAGAGGAGGAATAACAACTGGTTTGTTGAAATGTTAGCATTTAATACATTTTAAGTTTCTCAAATGTTAATATATAAACAAAACATTAATTGTATATATCTCAGAGTGTGTGTATTTGTAACTAAATCTAGGTAGAGGCTTGTGTTTTTAAAATGATTTTGGACAGAAATCATATAAATCCTTGTCTTTTTTGAATTGCGAATTTACAGGGTTTTTTTTTTTTACTATATGCTGGAAATGAGTCTGTTAGTTGCAAATATATTCTCTCATTGGGTGGTATGGTTTTACATTTTTATTTGTTTTATAAACACACATTTTAATGCAGTTGTTATTTTTTTTTATTTGTTGATAGTCCTGGCACTTGAACTAAGGGCCTGGGCACTGTCTCTGAGCTGCTTTTATCTGAAGGCTAGCTTTCTACCACTTGAGCCACAGTGCCACTTCCGACTTTTTCTGTTTATGTGGTACTGAGAAATTGAACTCAGGGCTTCATGCATGCCAGACAATCACGCTATCACTAAGTCATATTCCTAGGCTTGATATTTTATGCTTAAACTAGACATCAGACACAGTTAATACTTTTTCTGTCCCATGGTTTTACGTATATTTTTGCTCATCTAGAAGCTATATGATTTTGGCTTTCACATAGATACAACATTGAGCTGAAACTGGTGTGTGTGTGTGTGTGTGTGTGTGTGTGCGCGCGCGCGTGCATGTGTGTGGCTCATGAGGTAGAGGACAATGCTCTGTTTTTTTCTCCATATGGATAGCTAATGGTCCCAGCATGTGTCTCCGCTATTGTGAAGGATCAAATGTTCGTATGTGTTATGGTTGTGTTTCCCTACATGCTGTTTTCTTCCAGTGGCCTATTTGTCTCTTTTCCTGATACCACTTTGTCTTGTTTATCATACCTTTGTAATAAGTCTCAATAGTTAGTAGAACAAGTTCTTCTACTTTATTGTTCTTTGAGAACATCTTGGCTATCCTCAGTCCTTTACACATTTATATGAACTTCAGTATCATATCATTTTCCATATTCACATTCACAAAAAAATCTGTTGATTTGATTGGAATTGTATGGAATCTAGAAAAATTTAGGGAGAATTGACATCTTTGTAATATTATTTTCTATTTCTTTTTGTGTGTATGTGTGTGTGTGTGCTGGTCCTGGGACTTGAACTTGGGGCCTGGGCATTGCCCTTGAGCTTTTTGTTATTATTATTATTATTTTGCTCAAGGCTAGTACTCTACCACTTGAGCTATAGCTCCACTTCTGGATTTTTGGGTGTTTGATTGGAGATAAGAGTCTGATGACTCTTGGTATTTATTTTTACAATTTCTTACTGGTGTTCATCTTCTTAACTAGAAATAAAGAACATTTTTCTTTTCAAGTTGATATACTTTCATTTAATTCTTGTTTCACTGTGCTTAGTACTTTGATATAATCTTAATGGAAGTGATATTAGTGGACACCATTGTTCCTTTCTCAAAGGAAAATGTTCAGCATTTCTGCATTAAACATGATGTTTGTTTTAATATTTAGTATGCAATTAAGGAGGTTTCATTCTGTTTTTATTTTTCTAAAAACTTATATTGTGAGTGGATATTAGACTCTATCAGATGCATTTCCTAACGTTAAAATAACAATATGGTACTCCAGGCACCGATGGCTCATACCCATAATCTTAGCTACTCAAGAGGCTGAATTCTGAGGATCAAGGTTTGAAGCCAGCCCAAGCAGGAAAGTTCATGAGAGTCTTATCTCCACTTCACTGTCAAAAAACCCAGAAATGACTTTTGACATTCATACACAGTCAGACTAAAGGGGTATACCTTCAGGGAAAGAACACAAAGATGTAACTCCTCTGAATACTTAAAATAGTATCTATTGAAACAAACTCAGGAAATAGAAACATTTTTTTCTGTTGTTGTTGTTGATGATGATGGTGTTTTTGTTTTGGTTTTTTTCCTTCCTCTTCTTGGGGGGGAGGCTGTAAAAGGAGAACACCAAAAGTGTGTGTGTGTAGCGGGAGAATGAACAATTGCAATCATGCTGTGTGGAATAATCTGTGTGGAAAATGACCTAAGTAACTTGTGGGCAGGGTTAGGAGGAGGAAACTAGGGGAAAGTAAAGGAAGGATTGACATTGTTCAGAAAGAGAAATGCACTCATTACCTGACTAATGAAATGGTAACTCCTCTGTACAATACGTTAATAGTAACAATGAAATTATGTTTAAAATGCCAGAAGTGGATCTGTGGCTCAAGAAATAATGTGCCATCCTTGAGCAAAAAAAAAAAAAGCTCAGGGAGAGAGCTCAGGCCCTGAGTTCAAGCCCCATGACCGACGGACACACACACGCATGTGCATGTGTGCACACATGTACACCTACACCCGTAGTTTTGTCCTCTAATCAAAATATATTGATTAATTTCCTTTTGTTAAGTGAGCTTTGTAAGTCAGGTTAGTAAATACTACATTTTTCTATCATTTTACTTCTTAGGAATTTTGGATCTTTGTTCATGAGTGAAATTGGTCTCTAATTTTGTATCTTTGTCAGGGTACCTTATAAAATGAGTTAAGGAGTATTTTTGTTTTTTACTCTTTGAGAGAGTTCATGTTAAAATTGGTTTTATTCCATTTCATATATGATAGAATTTTGTAGTAAAGCCATGCAGGCATGTAGGCCTACAGTTTTCTTTGTGGGAAACTTACAAAATCAGTCTTTTAAGTGAATAATAGTATTTACCAGGCTTATTTGTACTTACTACTATTTTGGTAAATTATATTTCTTGAAAAAGTTTGTTTCATCTGATTTTTTAAATGTACTGTCATTAAGTACACAAAAAGTTCTAAAGATTTCTGATGCTGTAGTTAATCTACACAGATTTCCCGTGTCTCTGTAATGACCCTCTCTCTCATTTCATGATATAGTGTTATTGTTTCATTCTTTGCATTTTAATTAGATCTGCGTGCTTGTTTTGGAGTAGTAGACAAAAGTGTACATGCTGTCACTTTATTTCACATCACATCTGGAAGCACATACTTAGACAATTCAGTTGGACAACCCAGACTTTTACCTAGTGCTTTCTACTATAAATTGCTTTCAGTATGTAAATTAGTTATTTGATTAAAAGTTTCAAAATTGCAATTGTTAAAAAGTTGTCACTTCTGTCATTCTTAGTTAAAATTTGTCTCTACGAAAAATCTTTTCCTCATTTACTAGTGTCTGCTTAACCTTAGCTATCTTTGTCAGTTCTTGAGTTATTGAAGTCCTTAATTGGGAAACTGAAGACTGTTTACTTCTTCAAGATTCTTTGTATTCTGTCTCTAAGACTTATACTAAAGTAATTTTCTTTCTTCTTGGGCAAGTTAAAGTCATTCCCAAATGGTGGATTAGAGTTTCATGGGTTAGGGTGTAGGAAATATCTCCAGTCTTGAGTGAGTAGTTCTTATTCTACTGAGGAGACATAATGTAACTGAGAAAAAAGCCATGAAGAAAAGACTTTTGCTGTTAAGGTGTGGTGCTTACAAAGTCCTGTACTTCACCAGAGACTAAATCAGTCACTGTATGGAATCATTTAAATTTAAAGACCTCCAGCTCTAAAAGGGCTCCAGAACAGTTTTGTAACCAAATTAATTTTTAATGACTACTTTATCTTGGGAAGCTGCTGGGACCCCTGATGATTTGTTTCTTGCTTGCTTTCTCTGAAGCCCTAATTCCAGCAAAGCTAGTACCTCTGCCAGATGGAAGCTCTTCCCCTAGGCACTAGAGGTGACTAAGGGGAGGGAGGAGTATGGTATGGTTCAGGTACTTTCTTTTTCCATTGATTAAACAAATTTAATTCACTGAAATATCAGATAAATGACTGCTTACATTTTCATGACATTTTTTGTGGATCCTGGGGCTTGAATTCAGGGCCTGGGCACTGTCCTTAAGCTTTTTTATTCAAGGGCAATGCTCAACCACTTGAACCACAGCTCTACTTCCAGCATTTTTTGGTGTTTAATTGGAGATAACAGTCTCACAGGCTTCCTGCTGGGGCTGGCTTCAAACCACCATCCTCAAATCTCAGCCTCCTGAGTACCTAGGATTGCAGGAATGAACCAGCAGCTTCCAGTTCATCGTGACATTTTATTTATAAACTTAGATCACTTACTAACTCATTTTAATTTAAAAAAACTTTCACTGTTTAATCTTGCCTCTCTGATCTTTCATTTTTTAGGACAGTGTTTTCTGCTTTTTCTTCAAGTTTTCCATCGTGAATGATGTCGAATTGTATAAGGCATCTTAATTGAAATATTACCAGTTGAAAACATTGGAGGTAAGTAGTGTGTATCTCTTTTGAAAATGCATCTTTATTGTTACTAATATGTTTGTGTTTACATACCTCCCTCTGTATAATCTCTTCCCCTTTGTGAATTCCAAAGTAGGGATAGCTGAGTGCCTAATTACTTATAATTGTTTGGGAAACTGAATTGGGAGGGTCACTTCAGGCTGCAAGTTGAAATATTATCACAAAACAAAATTTTATAAAAAAAATTGAACAGCAGTGATTAAATATAAAAGATGTCCGTGTGATTTCATGTATTTAGATTTAGGTCTTAAATCAAGGCCCTAAGCAGTTACTATTAGCTGTGTAGTATTGAGGGGTACAAATTCTTTGAATAATTGGTCTTAGATAATTCACCAGCAAATGATTCCAAATAAAAGGGATTAATTCTGTCTAGGACCCACTGGTTAGAACTTAACTTTGGAAGAGCTTCCCTAAGTAATGCGTATTCTTTGCTAGTATGAGGTAGGAAGCCTTTTTTTCTGCCAAGGGCCTTTTGCATATTAAAACAAACCCTTCTTAGGTCACACAAAATTATCAGTATAGGCAGATGGCTGTAGGCAGCAGAGGAGAAGCACAAAAAACAGCACGTCCTGTCATATACCATATAATTTCAAGCCCTTGAGATAGACATTTCTCACACCTGAAAAGCAAAATGCACTCTTGCAATCCAGCTTTACCACCATCCCTTCCATGAAGCTTTCCTCAGCTCTTCTTTTTGTCTTTATCTTAACTATTTTTATGAAAACGTAACCCTATTCTATTCAAACTGCCTCTGTGTTTCTCTCACTTTTTAAGGGCATGCATCTTCTTTATCTCTAAGCTCAGATTTTGTTAGATGAATGTCCAGTGGATTCAGAAATATGGCCTGGTTAGAAGTTGTTAAATAAATCATTTTAAATAGTGTTTTGTGAGCTTTACCAAACGTTTCCACTACGATATTCTTACAGAACTTGAATTTTTAGGATTAGACTGAGCACCGTTTTTTTAAAAATCTTTTAGAAATATTGGGAAATTTCTATATGTATGTGTGAGAATTACATGATGCATGTAGGCTCTACTTAAGAGAAAGAAAGTCAAGAAGTCACATAGAAATTCATAGAGTTAGCCTCAGCTCTTCAGCTCAAGGCTAGTGCTCTATCTTGAGCCACAGCACCACTTCTGGCTTTTTCTGCTTATATGGTGCTGAGGAATCAAACCCAAGGCCTCATGCGTACAAGGCAAGCACTCTACTACTGAGCCACCTTCCCAGCCCCCTTTAAAATTTTTATACTCAAAGATTTCTCAAGTAACTCCACTTTATCAATTGATCAAAAAGCTTCCATCTATTTGGGAAAAAAGTAAGCAGTAGGAGCTGGGAATGTGGTTTAGTGGTAGAATGTTTGCCTAGCACGCATGAAGCTCTGGGTTGGATGCCTCAGTACCAGATAAGCAGAAAAAGCCAGAAGTGGTGCTGTGGCTCAAGTGGTAGAGTGCTAGCCTTTAGCAAAAGAGCTCAGGGACATCACTCAGGCCCTGAGTTTAAGCCCTATGACTGACAAAAACAAAACAAAACAGAAGTAAGCAGGAAATGTAAGAAGTGTTTTCTTACATAAGCTAGAACACTTCACTATATTCTAAGCTAATATTTCTCAAAGCAGCCCACAGTAAGAAATATATCTATTCACAATCTAGTGCTTATTGACCTGAATTGTGTGTTTTTCAAATGATCCAATAAATAATATAATTCAGTAATCAGTTACAGCCTAGCAATTAAAAATCACCATTAAATAATATGATGTGGAGTCTGGCACTGGTGGCTCACGCTACCAATCAGGAGGGTGAGATCTGAAGATCACAGTTTGAAGCCAGCCTGAGTAAAAAAAAAGTCTGTGATACTCTTATCTCCAATATACTACTCAGAAAAAGCAAGAAGTGACGCTTGTCTCAAGTGGTAGAGTGATAGCATTGAGCACAAAAAGGCCAAGGGACAGCACCCAGGCCCTGAGTTGAAGCCCCAGGATTGACGTGGTGTGTGTGTGTGTGTGTGTGTGTGTGTGTGTGTGTGTGTGTGTGTGTGTGTGTGTGTGTGTGTGTGTGTGTGTAATGTGGAAATGATCTGCCTCTGACATAAGCCACTAGTAGGTTGTCCTATCTTTCTTTTTAATAATCTCATTTACAATTGATCCAACAAAGGCATTAGGACAACTTAACCAGGAAAAATTACATATCCATTTATCTTAGGGTCCTATAGTTGGTCATTTATTCTGAGTATTTAGCATTATGAAGCATTTAGTCAAAGGAACATGTTTTAAAGTCACTCAAGATTTATATTGATAAAAACCTAGAGAATAAAAATGTCAGATTTTTTTCATTTCAAGTGGTGAAGGTAGTAATAGACACACATTTAAGAAGAGCAGACAGTTAACATTATAGAAAAAGCTATTATGCATGGTGGATACTACTTCTTGCTCATACTTGAAGTTCAATTTTAGATAATATTCAAGATAAAATGAGAACTTAACAAATAAGTATGGTAAAGTGCTGAAAACATAAATAGGGTATGTTATTTTAGCTCTACTGTTGTTGTAAACTGAAGTTTACTCAGGAGGTTAATTAGAACCTTGTATGAATGATAGCTCTGTTATAACCCAACACTTGGTATAAAATGATGTTAAGCTGGGCGATGGTGGCTCATGCCTGTAATCCTAGCTACTCAGGAGGCTGAGATCTGAGGATTGTGGTTCAAAACCAGCCTGGGCAGGAAAGTCTGTGCAACTCCTATCTCCAGTAAACCACCAGAAAATCAGAAGTGGCTCTGTGGCTCAAGTGTTAGAGCATTAGCCTTGAGCTGAAGAGATGAAGTACAGTGCCCAGGCCCAGAGTTCAAGCCCCGTGACCGACAACAAATAAAAAATGATGTTAATATTGACTTAACTAGGTTTACTGAAAATGCCTGAATCTCTTATGATGGAAAGAGTAAACTCATCTGTAAAATAATGATTATTAGTCTCTATATACATTGCTCTTCGAGGAACAGAAACAGTTGTGCAATAGTCAGAATTTTAAAAAAGTTATATACTGTTGTAGCTGTATAATTTAAAATTAAATATCTGCACCACAGACTCAAGATTAATCTTTTCTAAATAAAATGAGAGGTTCAGGATGGTTACTTACAAATATGTGTACCACAAAAGTCTTAATAAGCACTGGACTATGTTTTGTCTTTTTGAACTGTGGCTTTCTTCTGTGGAATAATGTAGAGTTTAATTACTATAAAAGGTATTTCTGATCTAAAAGAAAAGATGATTCAACTTGTGATGGTGTTTGGGAAAAGAGCCACTTGCTGTCAAAGTGTGGTCTAGCAGCTTATCTGCCGTTTTTTGTCATTTTCCATATTGAGTTAAGAATTTAGCAAAAGGATAAATTTTTTTATTTTGTCGGATTTCTAGACTACTGAAAAGAAGGTGCTTTCAGAGCTGGAGATGTGAATTCAAAATTCCTGTGCCAGGGTTCATAAACCATATTGAGGTATTTTCTGTAATTTAAATAGACTTTATAACAGTTTCAGTTTTACAGAAAGTTGAGAAGATAGTATATACATGAGATCCAGTTTCTCCTATTAATAGTTTACATGATGCATTTGTTACAGTTAATCAGTATTGAGCCATTGTTATTAATTGAAATCCATATTTATTCACATTTCTTTAGTTTATAACATTTTAATGTATATTTTTTCTTTCAGAATTCTATTCAGGAAACCATATATTTGGTGGTCATGTCTCTTTATGCTCCTCTTGGTTATATGGTTTTTCAGACTTTCCTTGATTTTGAAGACCTTGACAGTTTTGAGAAATAATGATCAGATATTTTGTAGAATATCCTTCAGTGGGAGATTGTCAGATGGTTAGATTGTGGTTATAAACATTTTTAAAGGAAGATGATAAAGATAAAGTGCCATTTGACGTTCTAATTATATTATATTCACAGTACATACTATGAATATGATTTATCACCATTTATGTTGGGAAACGTTTGCCAGGCTTCTTCACTGTAAGGCAGTCTTCTGGTAAAACCTCATTCCTTTCTATATTGTGTTCTTTGGAAAGAAGTTACAGTGTGCAGTCCCTTCTAAAGGACTAGAAAGTTATGCTCCATCCATCTCCTTAACATTAAGTTAAAAACAGAGGAAATCTGAATAAAATATGGACTTCAGTTCATGATAATGGCTCAGTGAGGACCTGTTATATGTACAAATTATTTGGAGTTTTTGGAAGTTTTCTCTCCCCACTTGACTAATTATTTCTTTGTATCAGTAGAGGCTAATGGATATTTATTTTTATTTGGAGTTGTATTCTAATACTCTCTTAATTAAATTGATTGAGCTGAACTGCTGAGAGACAGCGCCCAGGCCCAGAGTTCAGGCCCCACGACTGGACCTGCCCCCCCACACCAAAAAAAAGAATGGCGTTAGAAATCATGATCTCAGTGCTAGATGTTGTTCATTGATGCTTGGGAGTTGTTTCTTGTGAGCTCTGTTGGCTGAAATTCTATGTATATAGTATCTATATATGTATACTTATAAATATTTCTATGTATAGGTTACTTATGACAAACTTATTAATTTGGGGGCTGTTAAATCTGAATATGCTTCTGTTTGTTTGGGGGGGCATTATTTAATTTGATTGGTTTTCTTTTCAATACTGGGGATTGAACCCAGAGCCTCACACATGGTAGACAAGCACTGTGCCACTAGATCCATTCCCAGAGCCCTTGAAAAAGTTTTTGGTGAAAATTTTAATATAAATATAATTTTGACTTTGCATTATATCTCTTTTGAGACTATAACAATGTGAAATAGATGCAATAAATCTGTAACTAGTTCAAAATGGTTTCTACTATAATAAAAATCTAACAGGATGCTTGCTTTAGATATTATTTGGAGGGTCTATTTGGGGAAAATAATTACTGTTTTCCTATCTCTCTCGTTATTTTGTACCACTTTTACATAC